AAGGAAAAAAACAGTTTTGTAGACTCAGCCAAGGATTCCTCAATGTTAGAGACATAGGCATCATAACATTCCTTAATAAGTTTTTTTGATCTAGAACGTAGCAGTCGAAATTCGTCGTAGTCCCTTGGGTTACCAAATTTTTTATATCTCTTGTGCGCCTTATTTTTTTCACAAATACATGCTTTTAATGGCTCTGAAAACCAAAGTGGGTACTGCGATTGTCCTATATGCTTAAGTGGAGTATTAGTCTTTATAATTTCATTCAAAATGTCATAGAAACATTGAATGTCAGAGTCAACATCACCATGAGATAGTATATGTTGCCAATCAACACATTTTAACTGCTCTATACATTTAGTATTGTCGCATTTACGAAAATTGGGTACCCTAATATTTTTTGGTGTTAAACACTTGCGCAGGGGTCTTATACTCACATCAATTTCAATGGGTGGATGATGACGATCAGGTGTACTCAAAGGACAACACTCAGAAACCCTTGTGTCGGCAATGTTGGTCATAACCAGATCAAGTGTTCTGTTATTGGCATTTGTCACATGATTAAATTGAAAGAGACCCCCCAATTCAAGTAAATTTATAAGCGCCGTCGATTTACTATCATAAGCCGTACTAGGGACAGCGGCAGGGGGACTGCTGTCGTCAAGAGTCCAGCTTAAATCTGGTATGTTGAAGTCACCGATAACCATTGTCACACCATCAGTACCATGACTCAGTAAAATATCAGAGCAATGATCAAAGAAATACTGATACTCAGATACTTTCAGACTCGGTGGCAAATATACCAGATATATATTAAAAGAAACACCACCTAAGCTCGGGCCACTCACGGTAACCCAAAGGTCCTCTAAACTACTTTCCAAGTCAGTACGTCTTACAGTGTGTAGGTTCCTGTTTAACGCCATGAGTACTCCACCGCCACTATCCCTAGTAGAACTAGTGGTATTGCGATCTCTCCTAAACACAGTGTACCTGTCATCTATAAATTCACCGGTTGAGTATGAATCATCTAAGTTAGTTTCACATAAGCAAATAATATCATAATTATTGTTTAAGATATTGAAATATAATTGTTGTAATTTACTTCTAATTCTATTAACATTCTGGTAAAATATAATCATAATAAGAGACTTAATATACCAAATAGCTAAATAAATAAGCATGAAATTTAAAACAAATTCAATCTATATAATTAACTTATCCAAACTAGCCATGTCCTTTACATAAATGGCGGGCGAGGTTTCAGTTTTTCGGACGTAGACCCTGCCATATTTAATCCAAACAAACTTTAAATTCTTATCTTTGGCTAACCTACGTGTAGCTGCATGCAATTCCTTACAGTCCCTCGAGAGATGCTCACAAACGAAGATAGTGCGTCTGTCACCGCTAATGTCAAGGTGTGTCGAGTTAAGATAATTCTTGGGATTCTCTTTATTGAATTTTCTTGTAGCAGATATAATTTCGTCTCGACGCCGTTCAGAAGGGAGAGTAACCAATATATTACGTGGTCTGTCGGATGTCGGGTTTAACTTAGCAACGCGACGGCAAGAACGAATCTCACTGTCGGTGATCGGTAGCCGTATTGTATTACATAGTTTTTTAAATAAATTTACTACGTTTTCGTTGCGGCGTTCAGGGACGCATTGTATCTCGATATTATAACTCCTTGAAGTTTTTTCAATTTGTCGCAGACGCAACTCAAGTTTAGCTATTTCTGACTGTAGCCTGGAGTTTTCTGTCTGAAGTTTTACTATGTTGTCACAGGTTGAAGCTAATTTAACATTTATGTCGGACTGCTCTTTGCATAAAAAGTCTGTAGTATCCGAAAATTCCTTTTTTAATGTCTCCGAAAGTGTAGTCATAGCCGTTTTGATATTTTCCTGTATCTCTAGAGAGAGAGTCGCTCTGATGCTGTCCAGTTTAGAGTCAATTAGTTGGCCGAATTGACGCATTGTTATAGTGACTTCGTGCGATTCAACGGCTAAGGAAGTATTCTCGATGAGAGCTTCGTCGCAAGACATATTTATTTGGTGAGAAACGGGGGCCTGATTAATTGCCCCCTGAGGACCAATTTCCCTATATGGCGACGCTATGGGTGTGTCGTCATTTCTAGCACGCCTAGTAATATTAATGCACATATCACAACGCCAATTTTTCTCTAATTCCTTGGATTGTTTTTTATAATAAGAAGCAGTGAAATTTAAGCAAAGATAGTGATAACATCCTTTACAAGCAACGCATTTCAATAAATCAGCGTGTTTAATGGATTTTTTACATCCTAAACAATTCATATTTATTGGGTCCGTCGCGCAAGTCAGTTGTTTGTTAGGAAAGGTATAAAATGTTTATATTGCAACAAGCAGGTATAATGTAGCACAGATCAATCGACGTCTCGCTGTCTGTATCGTGTAGGTATGTAATACATAGGTATACAACCGATATTCTCCACCGTCGGGCGCTGAAGACAGTACGCTGTGTAGGAGTGCGACAAGGACAGCGTGATGCGCAGGAGTGCGACAAGGATACCTCGGAGCGCAGGAGTGCGACGGGGATAGCAAACCGGAGCCAACGGCCGACCTAGATCCGTCGTCCTTGAGCGTGTTGTAACGGATCGATCAGCTGACACTCACAATATTGACGAGTATTATCAGTAGATTTTATTTCCTTGTTTATCACTGCACAACACAAGCACTGGAATTTTGATATCACACCTGTACAACGCAAGATCGGAGCTATACACCGATGCAAACTTTATACGAAACTTCGAATTATAATGACAGATAAAGCTGTTATTCACGTGGGCAAGTAAAAACGATGTTGCTTCGGTAACGGTCGCGCGTAGTGCAAATTCATTTATTAGTCCAAATTCATATTATTTAAACAGAGACTTGGCAAAGGTTTACCTAGTGCGAGGTTCTACGGGAGTAATATTTGCTTCTAGAAGGTAGTAGGTTTGCTTATTGTCTATATAATATGAATTTGGACTAATACTAAAATTGCAATTTTAGCGTGAATTTACTCTGACCTTGTTTATAAATAGCACTGATTGAAAATTATCAGTTGTGATTTAGTACTTTCCTCGTTTCAGAAACCGGCCAGTTGGGCGGTCGCACCTCTGATATACATTTACAGGATCCAAATATTTAATACTTCACATTCAACACACAATGCAATAAATTGACAGTCTTTAGGGTGCGCATGAAACAAAACAATAATGACAACAATTAAAATAAAATTAAGGCCAAATAACTGTGAGAATTCTAATAGCTAAATAGATAATGCATAAAAATTACTTGCTTAAACATATATACACTGTAAATATCCGTAAAACACATGCAAACCAAGGCTGCGAAAATACTTGAGTCAGGACAGTTTTAAGACAGGCTATTTGCATACAAAACTAGCTGTGCCCGCGACGTATTCCGCCTGAAAATTAGCATGAGTTACTCCTTATTACATGAGCCATCTACCAGTGAAAGTCCTGTTGAAATTGGTCCAGCCGTTTAAGAGATTAGCCGGAACAAACAGACGGACAGATAGACAAAAAATGTTATTTGGTATATGTACCGTGTTTCGGTTATTTAATTTTACAAACAGACACTTCAATTTTATTTATATGTACCAATATATCTATAAATGGAGTAACTTAAAACTTTAAACGTTACAAAATTTCATTAATCACTACCACAATCGCTATACCCCCGAAAAGGATTGCGATGAATTACGACGACGATTCAAGTATATTTTGTTTGATACTGAAAATGGATTCATTCGCTGTCCGTCGCGTCTAACTAAAACGAAACTATTTTGTTCGTTGTAGACAAAATAGTTTCGTTTTAGTTTAAACACAGACTCGTCTTTAAATTAAGTTAAAACTGATTTAAAACTGCCGTGACACCAATCTGCACTCAGCCTAATATACCTACAGTAAACGCAAATGTCTTAACCATGTACCTGCACTAAAGCGCGGCAAATGTCGACCAATCAGAATGATTCATGCAGCCTGGCCCTGACCGACCCGAATTTGTTTCTCAAAGGTAGCAACGAGTCTTGTTTCAATAACAATAAGGTGTAAAATACAACGGATTGTATCTCCGTCTCACTCACACACAGCGGGGGTCAGGCGAGAGATGGCGTGTTAATGAAACATTCTTATTGGCTGACATTTCCCGCGCTTATAAATTAAGCTTAGCGCAGGTACAGTCTCAACAATTAAACAAGTAATTAATAAATTGCGCTAAATAGTGATTAATTTAAGGCGTTGATACCATCCCCTCCCCCACTGCCAGCACCACCAAATAAATCTAATAATTGCTTTATAAAAAGGTTTACACTATAAAGAACTCTTTCAGCCGAATACTACCTTTATAACAATCAGGGTTCAGCAAACATCCATTGATATATAACATGCTTTTTATGGCTTGTTACTTAGTTTCTATAGCCATCACTAGATGGCACTATTTTAAATTTTTAATATATAAATGAAAGCAATTGGGATCTTATTTTTTAATTACCTGATATCAATAAATGATTGTTATATTAGAAAAAATTTTGCATTCATATTGATATTTATCTTACAGAAAAACACAAGAAAATAATTATATTTAAACTACATTGTCATCTTAATTGCAAGTTAATAAAGAAAATACACTCACTATAATACAGTTGCCGATTTACTATGTTGACCCTACCTACTTTACTATGACAAAATTGGCTAGATCATCTGCGAGTGTAACGGCTATATATTTGTACCTTAATGAAAGAGATATGTGATGGAAATATGTAACGCCGGATCATTATACGAAACTCCCTGTTTGGTAGCAAGTGTTTGAGAAAACTAGTTTCACTAAAGCTTTAAATAACTCAATTTATAGTAGTCACCCAGACCGCATAAGACAAAAACGATTGCTGTATTTTCCAATAACACAGCAGTAAAAAAATTGTGTTTTTTTTTCACATACTTACTAAATTTTGGAATGTCTGTGATGTCTGGAATACTTCAATCAAAAATGGTCACTAATTACAATGTAATAATTCCACTTTTTGGACTAACTGGCAATATATGACAAATAATCCAGTGTTGAATAACAAAATAATAAAAAGTAGTAAATTCAAAATATTGTCTATAGGAATAGTGGTATCTAATACCACTATGTTTAAGGGCTAAATTCGCTCACAGTATCTGCCTTCTTCGCTTGCGTTTTTGTACACGAGGTAACCAAGAATGACAGCGGCTGCAGTCATAAAAAGCGTTAAGAAATGCAATATTTTCAACTTCCGCATATCATTATGGAGAACAGCATAGTTCTGTTGTAAATTGTTCAAGGCGTTCGTAACCGAATCTGGCTTTTCTGTCATCCTACCTTCTGTAATGTTACCGTTTCTCGACAATTCTTTCTCTGGAAACTGACATTTGAGTCTATACTCGTCGACTTTGCTTCCTGTTGAATTTTGCCATACTTCGGCTAATTCCTTGCCCGATAAATCAGCTTTGGGAATTTGAACAGACATCACGAGGAATCTGTCTTTGGTCACTGTACGTAAGTGGAAGCCATGTTGCACGACGATCAGAACTACCTGTGACGCACCACTAGGCAGAGTACCAGAGCTCGGCCTCACACGGAACTTCTCAGGTGAAGTAGTTCGAATTTTGAAAGAAATGGCACTCTCATCCATGTTTGTTATAGTGAACTGACCAGATAATTCATCATTCTCATTCTTGAAAACGATTGTGTCATTCGGCACTAACCGGAGCATCTCACCAGGCGAATGTTGGTTGTCTCCTTGTTCAGCAAATGTTACTTTCTTCGGGGTATGTTCCGAACTGCCTCTAGGTTCTGGCACAAACTCAAATACATATGGATCTTTACCTCCCCAACAAATTAAAGCCTGATCTGGAGCGATAACATCTTTCAAAGTATCTTTATTCGCAAATTTCATTCGCTCAACCGCTTTCGCCGGCAACAATGTTTTAACAACTTTAAATGCAGCATTTAACACCCATGGCATCTGATAAATAACAATATAATTCAAAAAGTAAGGATAATACAACTTGAAAAGATTAATTACATACTTTATCAATTCCATATCCATATTGCCCAGTCCGCAGCCTTCCATATCAAAGAAAAGTGTGATCTTTTTACCATTTTCTTCCCTCTCTATGCGGTCTAGCCAATAAATTAGTATCTTTTTTATCTCTTCAAAATCTTTTTGACCTTTGACATGTAATTTAGACTTTATAATAAGCACTAAACTACCATCAATATCTCTGCCGTGTGGAAAAAATATACCTTCTTTCATATAATCCAATCGTATGTTAGTTTCATTGATATCATTCGCTCCCACAGTCTTCCGCCACAAAAGTATCTCCCACAACATATCAGTAGAACGTTTAATGTCATTCTCTTCGTGATTTAGTACCCTTTGGAGGTACTTATCGTCTTTCACACGGTCCAAATCCAATGGATGAAATTCTCCCGGCGGATTTGGTATGCCTTCCTTCAATTTAGCCTCGAACGAACTTCTTAAATCCGCTATCGTCGCCATTCCGATTGATTTAGTACATCTATGTGTTAATTATAGAAGCGATAATTTTATCTAACTGATAAATCAAAGTCTCGACTCCGTAGAACACAAACACAGTGGAACAATAAAACCACACACACAGAACACAAACACCTACCCTACCACAATCATAGACTTAGTAGGTACCTATAACATAATCCCCAACTGATTTTGACATTTCCAAATAATCAATTTTATTAGGGTTGGGCAATAGTAATCATTTGAATAATCAAACATGGATATTTATTCATTCAATATCAAATTTGATCATGTGTAATTTATACTCCACGGTATTTTTAAGTATTTAATTTGATATTTTAGCTCGGTGGCGTAGTGTATAAGCGCCGCGACCCGCGATCGTTGTTAATAAGCAACTTTCGCAAGGTTCGGTCACGGGATGGGTGACCAAAAAAAAATTATCTCGAACTACTCCGTGCCTTTGAGGGCACATTAAGCCGTTGGTCCCGGCTTCATTTGCAGCCGTCAATACCCTCTGTGTGGAACAGAAAGGAGTTTGGACTTACTTTTAGTTTCTTCGATAGCCCAGGGTATTAAGCCGCTGGTCGTAAGTCTCCCGCGTTGTTCTGGGATAATTTTGTTCTTGTCCTACTGCCCCTTCACACAGCATTGATTTTCTAAGTTTCAAGATTTGGTTGGAATGGGACCTTGCAGGATCGACCATTTGCTATGGCGGCGGAGTTGCAACAGACAGCTCTCAGGGACTGTCTGTCTACCCTCGATCATTTTATATTTGTCCAAGTTAGGGAAAGGCAGGTAGGCAGATGAATAAAGTTGTATTACCATATTCAACACTTTGTTTATAACGCATTTTGAAACTGAACACCCTCCAATCCGCATTGGGCCAGTGTGGAGGGTCGTGGCCCATCCTCCTTAACCATGCATAAGGAAGGCCAGAGCCCCTGCAGTGGGGACGTAAAAGGGCTGATGATGATGATGATGAATTTCATATTTTATAATGCGCTGTAATTTATATTTAATATTAATGCCATCCTCAAAATGGATCAAAATGAAAATTTGATTTAAGAAAATGAATAAAAGAAATATTTGCTTATTTCTAAAAATTAATAATTCAAATAAAATCATAGATACAATTGTGTTTCCTTCGATTTCCATGCAATGATTATTAAACAGGAAAGAGTTCAGTTAATTCCTAATTAAGAGTTTATCCAAAAATCGACTTACGCATTTAACCCATTCAATTAAATGTTAGGAGGAACCCTATTATTCGATATATTTTTTCATATGCACATCCCTAGTTGTAATAAATTTTATAGCATTGACATTTAAATGTCAAGTTATCGATTCGTAACATTTTTGCGCAAAGACATTAAATGTCAACAGCCTTGGCGGAATATTTCTTCAAGGAATAATACTAAAAGTTTAGTTTAAGTTTTTAATAAATAAATTAAATGAAATGCATTTCGATATGTTTTATGATTTATTTATTCATATTATATTTATAATTAGCTGTGGTATACAAATATCTATGCACAAAGAAATCAGTAATGATAGTGCACAACAAACTTGGTTATCATAAAACTATAAAAACATTTAATAAGACCCTTTTACACATAAAATTCTGTATCTAAAACAAAAAGTATTACTAATAAGTAATATAAGAACACAATAGGCATTTTCTACCTAAGTTTCCTTTAATTTCAGTCATTTGCATATAATATGACCTAGTTAAAAAACCATCAAATCCATGAGAGGTTTTTGATGTATTTCCACTATATACCAGCTGTCTCCATATTCCTTTATTTTCCATAATAAATTTTTGTACTAAATAATTGTTTAGAATGTCATAAATAATAAGTAACCATATTGACCATAATCCTTTTCATTAAAGCCTCGATGCAACATAATCTGGCTAAAACAGAAAAAAAAATTATAACAAATGACACACACAGAGTAGTTAAATGGCACAGTGGACAGGCATCATGGATTGTTGTCCTTAAGAAACTTATGTAGGGGTTGATTACAGATTGGGTTAATCCTTTGGTTCCTGCTGCATTTGCATACCCTCCAATCCACTTTGGGCCAGCATGGAGACAGACACCCACGCAAGGACATTTTTAACAGTTTTTGGTTGAAACTTTTGAATATTTGTATATCCCTTATTGACAATAAGTACTACTTAAATATCAAGACAAGAAAATTTGGATTTTGTTTTAAAATAACTAATTTAGTTTACTTCTAAATAATTGACTAGTTCTCACATTAAAATCTCTTATCTTTTGTATTATTTTTTTAAACATGAATTACTTACCGACACAAACCAATAAGAATTTCTTTTGAAAATCATCCTGCCTAATATACCCATTTGTGACTCTGGCGCTATTGTATGCAAGTGAAGATGTTTTACACTCCTGAATGGTGGCCAGTGGTATCCTATTCTTGCGTCTTGTACAGTCAAATTGTTTTTCGCTAGAAGTTCATGAGCTACTGACAACATGTGTTGAGCTGGAATATTACAAATCTACAATCAGACCAATTTATTTGGTAGTCTTTGCGTTAACTTTTAATTACAGCTGAAATTTTTTTTTATTTCAATATGGACTTGTGTAATGCATGTATGTGAACATTTGACACTAAGAGGGGACTATTGTGTATGGCTATTGAAAAAATGTACTATTTTATTACACAATGGTTTTTTATTTATGTTCTGTATTGTCAGTGAATAAAAACCTATATCTTTTAAAAAAACTTATATACTTTTCTATCTGTTTTTCCATAACTTAATCATGCTAATAACAGCAATAATCACAGTGTAATGTTGTTACAGTCTTTTGCCAAGAAATAAATAATTGATCTATCTTTATTGGTAAAAAAGGTAATCTCATCTGTCATATGCAAAGGAGCAATAAAGGTGTTTAAGTGCAAAATATTGGAGCCTCATCTTTGCTGTCCAGTAGCAATTAGTGAAGATAATTAACTTTCCCAAATGCCAATTTTTCTACTGGTAACACAACTCTTTCAATTAATTAATAAACTTATTATGTCATTGAGAAAATATAACGAATAATTAATTTTAAAAGTCTTGTGTGTATTTTTGATGATATAATCATTGGTAGTTACATTAATTATTTCTAATTTTTAATGTGGAATCTTGTGACTAGCTCTAAATGCACTCTATTAAAACAATGAAAATACTACTTCTGGCGGCCTTATCGAAATAATTAATCATTTTAATTGCTTACCGAGATCCTTATCGCTGGTTGTGAGGGACTTTACGTCTTCTATATGCCGTTTTGGAACAGTTAAGATGTGAAACTTGCTAGCGGGTTTGATATCACGAAATACACACACTTGCTTGTCTTCAAACAAAATTTCCGTGTCTTCCAGTTTATTGACGATATTGCAGAATATACATGATGATTTTTCAGTTTGTGGCAAGGACATTTTCGATGATAAGCTGGGTAAATTTAAAATGTACCTTGAAAAACAGCGCCCTTGTTTTATTGACAACTTTGACAGCGAGATAATGAAAACTGCGTTTCGTAACACGAAGTTAGGAATTTTTAATTTGTAATACATCCTTTTAAATATGTAAATACTTATATAGCGAAACACATTTTAAATTAAACGAAAACTATGTAGTTCATAGTTAAGAAACTAACTGCATGAAAAATGATTTACTGCGTTTAATTTAACATTGAGAAGTGTAACTATCTTTTGACACATGACTGTATCATAGAATAATAGTACTCCACTGTATTATTTTTCTCTTTGTAGTACTCCTAAACTGTACGCGGCATAGGTACCTACGCAGAGTTGGGCGTAATCAACTTTTTGTAAGTTGAAACTAATCTTGATTACAGCATTTAGTAATCAAATGACATGATTATTGTAGACTTGAATTATTATTTAGAATAATGTAATTAAATTACATTATTCTAAATAGTTGAATATCCATCATTATCGCATGTCAAATAGTGTCAACGTCGAGTTCTCTTTTAGCCTTATGTAATAGTTTTGACTCAGAAATTGGACAGAACGAAAGAATAGTCTAGATTTTACCATGCATCCTTAACGGCATTTTTTTATTTATTGTTAAACCGATTCCACAATGAGAAAATATTAAAAAAAGCATTCGTTTCCGAAATCAAGCTAGATGTCGCTACGGTACTTACTTGATTTCTCCATGACAACCCTTTTCAAAACTTCATAATCAACTCTTATTCTATTTGAACTTTTTCATATTTGTATTGATATCTAAGTTTCCAACTTTGCTAATTTCAGGTTTTTTTACATGTTAGTTAAAAGGAACGGAAATGACTATCTTTGGTTCATTCGTTTCCTGCAAAAATCAACTTTTGCTAGAGTCGCCATCTAGTAGAGGTGCTTTTTTGGTGCTTTCTTTTTATTTTTAAATACTTCCTCATTACTAAAAAGTTGCAATTTGCTTATCTTGACAACTAAAATAAGTAAGCATTTGCAGTTATAACGATTCAACATCATTTTTATGTTACTCATCTTAAACGAAAACCCGGAATATACATATTCAAGGAATATCAGAGTCATTTCAAACTAGTAAAAAAAGCCAATGAACTTATAATTGAGCCAATGAACTTATAATTTGTTACGTTTTATAACGTATAATTTGTGTGAATTAGTTTCCAAAACTCAATAAACAACTCATATTCCATTTTTACTTTATCGTATTTGTATTGATATCTTAGTTTCGAACTTTGCATATTTCAGTTTTTTAATATATTAGTTAAAAGAAACGGAAATGACTGTCTTTGGTCCATTCATTTCCTGCAAAAATCAACTTTTGCTAGATTCGCCATCTAGTGGAGGTGCTCTTTTAGTGCTTTCATTTTTTTAATACTTCCTCATTACCTGTAAACCATCCTCATTTCAGTATGTATAGTCGTGTTGGAATGAATCTGACTCGAATCAATTAATTCAAATAAATTCTAACTGACGCATCCCTCTTCGTCAACTTCAAAGCAAAGAGTATCATCAAAGCAAAGAGTAGAGTAATGTAATTGCATTAAAGTCAAAATAGTTTTTCGAGAGACATTTTTTTTGCTTGCTATTTGTCTTCCTTTTCTGCTTTTATCCCATATTCCTGTGAGTTTAAATGGAAGAAACAGAATTAGATTCTTCAGAGCTTGGTACACATTCGTACTGGCAACAGTCATACGCTAAAGAGATAATTAATTTCGATGATCACGGTGACACGGGAGATGTATGGTTCGGTGAAGATAGCGCATATCGAGTCATAGATTGGATTTGTAAATGTAATATTGATAAAAACTCGCCGATCATCGATTTAGGTACTTATTTCTAGTCCATACTACCTTTGTTGATTAGTTTTAATTCAAACTTTTTAGTGACAATTCAGAGGTCTGTTATGCGGAAGTTAAGCAACATTCTAAATGACCAGTCATAAGATTGATCACCAAAAAAAGTAACTCGAGCTCCTCCATGCTCTTGCCAGCTGTAGGGGCATTAATAGACTCATGATAATGATTGTTTTCTTATATCATATTTCAGGTTGCGGTAACGGATACACCCTTATTGAATTAGCCAAGGAGGGCTACAGAAACTTGCTGGGTGTAGATTATTGCAATGAGGCAGTAGAGTTGGCTGAAAGAATTTCAAAAACAGACTTCCCATTCATTAAGTATAAGGTTGTAATACTTTTTCGTCTTAATAATACTTCAGATAAAAATTTATCTTTGCGAACCGTATACGGTTTGCTATACAGAAGGTTGAATCCCATCTCAGATTATTATTTTACTCTGTGCTCACTACTTTGTAAATGACATTTGATGTTTACAAAAATCTGTACACTACATGTGCTATTGATGCAATGCAATCACTAGATTGATAGAAAGTTGCTGTAATACATCCTATTTGTTGGTTGATTTGTTTATAATTCTTCTACCAACTGTTATTTACTGTTATTACTTTGTTTAATCAATAACAACATTTTTTTGTCAAAGAGCACTTTCTCTCAATGTGAACTTTTACATTATACATAGTGGATATTATATAATTATGTCTTGTCCACTTTAAACACCATAGACTATGTAATTAGATATAAATTTTAATTATCCAGAATATAATGGTTGCCTGGAAGAAATCGCTTTTCTATTTTACTATTGATTGATTGTGCTATTTGTTCTTTATGTTATTGTTTTCGTATTATTAGTGTTTATGTACAATTAAGAATTATTCATTCATTCATTCAAAGTTGCTTCCAGCTGTCTGTACTCTCAGATATTTTAAAATGCAACATTTTTGTAATCAAAGCACAAAGTGATTTAAGAAGAAAGTTTATATGTATAAGACAGGACCACACAGACATAAATACATATTATGATTTTTTTTGCAGGTTTTCGATATAACACAAGGTAGCGTAGACAAACTTGGTTGCAAATTCAGTTTGGTACATGACAAAGGTACATATGATGCTATAGGCCTTAACCCAGATAAACCACGAGAAAATAGAATGAAATATATTGATCAGGTCTATGAAATGATGGAAAATAATGGTATGTTGCCTTAAATATTCGTTATTTGACATTAGATTAATAGTTGTTAATGCTATGGCCATCACAGCAACTTAAGTCTTGCAGGTGGATGTTATTGGCAAATATCTCAAACGGATGTGTGCCTTCCAGTCCGCAAATTTTGTGTGGTATTTTTGTGTTTTGATCATCCACCACACATTATTGTTATAAATGCTTATGCAGTTGTCATTTTTTCTGTCGCCTTATCCTTTTTTATTTATTTATATCTTTACCCCCTCACAACAGTTATAAGGTGCTCATATTTTGACAGACTAAAGTTGTAAAATTTAATTCTGTTAATATTTTTCAGCATTATTTATTATAACGTCATGCAACTGGACAGAACAAGAATTGATTAAGCAGTTTTCTGAAAAACTGAAGCTTAAATGCGTGATACCGACACCACAATTCAAATTTGGCGGGAAAGTGGGCAGTGTTGTTTCATCTGTAGTTTTTGTTAAAAATTAAATGTTTAAATTATGAATTTATTTATTTAATTTAAATGTTATGTTCTATCTACCTACTGATTATACTAACACCTACCTACTACTAACAGCACTGTTATGTCATTAAAATACAGGTGCAGTAAAATAAAAATGTAACTGAAACAGTCACCTTTCTTATAAAGTTTTATATCTTGCTTAGGTTCTCTTAGCTATATTTTTCGAGTGGTTTAGGAACTTAAAAGAATCATTGAATAATTAAGAACTCGAATAGCAAAGGACTAACTAGAGTGGAAATCATAAACTATATAATTGTTAGACAGCCAATCAAAAGCGGTGGCCAGTCTCGCCTTCAAAGCAAATATCTCAGTTTATTACCAAAGCGATACCGATCGAGATCGATCTTTTCTTTTTTGGTGTTTTTTTGAGTTCAGAATTATGATAAGTTTTGAGTTAATTAAATATAAACTTGATGTAAAAATGTAACAGAAGAGTCTTCTTACAAATTTTTTGACCAAGTAAATCTGCCTTTAATTATAAAAATTAAAATAACATCAGTCAGTATGAGCTAAATGTCTCTGCTTAAAAAAATATATTGATTGACAGCTCAATGCGGATTACAGTTCCATTCCAAAGTTCTGTCTAGGGATGTAACGATACCACCTAGGTAGCAATACTTTTACACTTGACGCCAATCATACACCAAGGATTAATTCTTAAGCGTATCAAATAGTTTTAAAATACCACACCATGGTCGTCATTTTTATAGTATTTAGAGCAGATTTGATACTATTGATAGTTAAAAGCAATTCTCTGTTTGCGGAAGGAGGTCCAGGAAAAAAAACGATGCATATAGTAAATAGTATCACTTTAATTTTTTTTTGGCAGGGCTTTATCCAGATATATCTTTGAATACATAAAATTAGTAGGCGTTAACGATGTTCATTGTCGTACATGATAGGGACGCCGCGCCAGTGGGAATTTTTCATGAGACAGACTTTAGACTGCACAGAGTAAATAGTCAAGCACGCGAGTTTTTGACTCTCCTCGGTGAGTGTCTGACCAACTATCATAACAAATAATTACTTCCAGTGGCGTAGCTAGGTAATCTAGAGCCCTGGGGCAAATAAAAAAATTGGGGCCCACTTCTATCAAAACTGGTAAGGTTTTTGAAGTAAAATCATTAAATATACAAATACTTTAAAAATGCTAAACAACTTTATCATCAGCTCTTTTTTGTGCATAGGCAGGTAATAAAACTATTAAACACTAACAACATAAATTACAATTATTTTTATACTTGGTGTAGGTATTGGGCAATAAAACGAAATAGAAAAGATTCAAAGGTTTAGAGTCTGGCAAGCGAAACGTGTCACAAGAAAAGGGCGGCAATTTCAAAAATTCTTAAGCAGTAAACACTGAATGTAGTACTGCAAAATAATTTTGATACTTTTATTAATTATATTTAATCTTAACATTTAGATATCAATTAAAATTATTTGTTTTGGAACATTTGACTAAAGCGTGACTGTTCTTAATTGTACAGTTAACAGCATATCAGTAGGCCTATTCACTAACTCAACTGACAACCAAGAATCGTCATCACCGTAAAAAATAGACACTTTGATTGTGTCAAAATCACTATTTCGTATTCTCTATCAATGATGAGCAATTTCGAAATGTCAATATCGGCATTCTCCACTGGACTCCATTTTGACACTTGATTTCGTATCGATAAACTGTATTAAAGTAACATTGTTGCAAAGCATATTTGAAGTCGTCGCATAGTACCTCTTAAGCCATTTGTTGTTAAATTAAAGCGAAAAAAAATACGTATCCAATATTTTTCTATTATCTGACTGACGGACTAAATCGAATCTTTTTTTTAACCCATTCGTTATACCTATTGGCTAACAGCACTTATAATATTAAAAATTCATATTTGTCATTAATTAAAAGGGTGTTTTTTGCAACGACTTCTTTGTTTTTTTGTAATGAATATGGGCGACTCTGGCCACATTTTTTTAATAAATGTGATGTTAGCCAATTTTGATTTCTGGCCCTTATATTTATAATGTGTTCATAACACATACATGTCTCCTAAGGGATTTTCATCACAACCTTTTGCTCTGATCCAGAACCACTATCTATCAAATTAAATTAGTCAATATAAACACCAGATTACAATAAAAAAAAACATTTATTTTTGTTACAATTAAGTGCCATGGATAAATTACATAATACAGGTGTCACAAAATCATCATGTTAATCACAATAGAAAATTTAAGATAAGATTTTGACTATGAATCAGACTAAAAATACTTTAGTCTGATTCATAGTCAAAATCTGTTTCTAAATATTCTACACCTGATAACAATGACAAGGAATCATCAGAGTCACTCTCTTCACTACTGTCTGCACCAACAGATATAATAAATTTTTCAAGTTCGTTTTCAACAATGCCATCTTTTAATTTGTAATCATTTTCGACATTTAAAACATGATCAGTGTATTTCTTCCAGTCACTAGGGGTAATTAAGTTAAAACACTCTATTATTAAGTTTTCCATTTCCTTTCCTGGTATTCCAATGTTTCTGCTTGCAATTTTTCTTTTTGCTTGACTCCAAACCATCTCTATTGGGTTTAAGTCACAATGATACGGTGGCAGCAATAAAAGTTCATGATTATGTTCTTTTAAAATCTCTTCAGCTTCATATACAGGCAATGTTTTCTTATCATTAACCAAACACATTAACTCTGCCTTTGTCTGATATTCCTCAAAATGTATTCCATTATTTACAAGCCATTTACGGATATCTGCTTTGGTATTAGACATTATAGGCGGTTTATTGATTTGTTTTATATGGTAGCTGGCATTATCCATAACAATTACACTGGGCTTACTTAAATTTGGTATTAATTTTTCTCTGACCCATTTCATAAAGTTCGATGAGTTCATATCATCATGATAATCAGCAGATTTGGATTTACTACTGAACACTAATAATGCACCAGGCACAAAACCTTCCTCAGATCCAGCATGCACAACAATATGCCGTTTTCCAGAGGATATCTTTGTAGTGACACCAGTTGTTGAAGGTCCTTGCCAAGACTTTTTAACTTTATAATTCTGATGTACATAAGTTTCATCAAGGTACACAATTTGCTTTCCTTCGTTTCGTTTTATATTTATTTCTCTCAAATACTTGTGCCTCCATGCAGAAATCTGGTATTTTTCTATAAGCATAGAACGTTCATTTTCATTGCTTTTAAAAGAAAATCCATTCTTAAGCATAATTTTTCGTAAAGTCTCACGGCTACCACTGAATCCTATTGCATCTTTTAATTCATTGTGAAGGCTTCTTAATGTTGGAACAATTTTTTTCACACAGTAAAATTCATTTACTTTATTCCGAATTGCACTTAAATCAAAATTATCTAAAGCAGACACTGTTGGTTGATGAGGTCGTTTTTTCCCAGGAGTGTCCCATTTTCCTTTATTAATTAATGCTTCATTTTTTATCCTTCTTAGTGTCCTTATACTTACATCTATAAAAGATTAAACACTTTGAAACAAAGATATGTTAAATGTATTTAAAAGCAAATAATGATAGACACATACATCAAAATAATTTAAATACCTATTCAACTATGAATGCAATTTATGTTTAATTTAGTTAAGTTTATGTGCATATTTAGCATGTATAACAATTACATGGTTTGATTAGTTTCATGAATTCTGTGAATTTCCTTGTTAAACAAAACATTCTTATGACATCATTGGATGTCAACAATAAAAACCAATACATCATAAAAAACCTATGTAAATATTATAGGAATACTATCAATCTATCTTAAATCAAAACAAGAAAAGAGACCTGTCATTGAAGAAATTTTTTGTAAGTACTGCGTTTCCGAATTCAGCATTTCTTGTTTTTCTAAAGTTTTTATTGCATTTATCTCCTCCATTATTGGTTGAATATCACCATCACAGTTATCTGAAATAGAGCAATATTTTATAAAAAATATCTGTTTAGTTAATTACAGAAAATTAAAACGAAAGTATCAAAATTATAATACAAAACTAACCTAAAAAAGATACAACTTTATCTAATCGTTGTAATTTCTCCATGAAATTTTTATTTAATTCAGTTTTCACTTCAGTAAACTTGTCAATCATGATGGAAAGAAGTTTCCTCGATGAACTTTTTATCGGCTTCGACATAATTTTTAACCAAAAACACAAGTTCAAATTCGCAAAAACAACAAAATTCAATATTCTTGAATTGTCTAACGTAGTGTCAAACTGACAGTTCTATGTTGTTGCCATATGAAAACGGAAAAATAGGTGGTGTCACGTTTCGTTTGCCAAACTCTATTATATATTTATTTAATCATAGATACGTTGCGCCAGCTTACTGTTATTTAACCTATCGCCATGCAAGTTATTTACAAAAATTATCAATAGAAATATTTGATCCAGAAGTACTTGCAGAAGGCTGACTAAAAATCTTGTCAATTTTGGGCAATTTTTGTTTACTTTCTCCTCTTTCTTGGCATTGTTTGCGTTTAAATGCACCACCGGGTTTCTTTTTTTTTTTGTCCATAATATTAGTTTTCTAATTTATTTATGCAATATTTATGTAAGATTGTACTCAAGTAGGTACTCACTGTTCACTGACAACGTTACAAGTAAAAGGAAAGCGAAAACTTAAATGAATGAAAATGATACGATACAAGGCGTCGTTGGGGAATCCCCGGCAAACACTTTATCGCCGCCAGTGTTACCACATTTGACGGTTTGACGGACTACAATCAAATAAAATTGAACTTTTGTAAGGACCAGTACAAAAAATTGACATACGCTTATATATAACATTTTAACCATTCTCGAAAAAAAGTCTTGACTCGAAGTTCACAATCGCGAATCACAAAAATGCATATCGATAAATAATAATATGCAGATATTGATATCCAACAAATTGATGAAAACATTAATAACACTGTCAACCCACACAAATAATTTACGGGAATTCCCTTTTTACCCTACTGCGCGACGCAAACGAGGGTACCTAATTATAACTTTGGAATTACTCACAACTGAGTTTCCATGATTAAACTCGAATTGTCACCTGTCATTTTTATTTTGAAGATGGGAGAAATTTTCAAAAGTTGAGTTCGATTGAGATTTTCTAGTAAAGATTCGAGGGCCCCCTGAGCTTGAGGGCCCCGGGGCACTGCCCCACCTAGCCCCTTAGTAGCTACGCCACTGTTATCGATACTACTCGTTACTCGCTCCTAAAGTATTGATACCAAAACACTTGATATGAAAAGAAAAGTTTCGAGTAAGTAATTGTATTTACTCGTATCGTTCATCCCTAGTTCCGTCACCTGTGGTGATGTTCTTGTATTGTAATTATTTCGACTGTTTTCTTAAATTTGCTAAGTTATAAATCGTTTTCCTTTATGAAAAAAAATCATAAGGTTCGTTGAAAAGTTTTCCAACTGGAACACGCTCTTCACTTAGGTCGAAAATAGAACAAAACTAAAAATCGCTTTGTGAAGTTGTCGCACTGTGCGAATTGTTACGTGTTGTAGTTTACTAAATTCCAATTTAATGTTTACTCCGACTCATTTGCAATCATGTGACAGTGTTTATTGAGTGCACACAGTACATAGCACAATTAATTAAAATATCCTCTATCGGTAATTTATGTATTTTTATCGTGCATAAATGAAAAGTTTAACCTTAGATTACTACATTAATCAATATTATGAACTGAATAAAAATATGCGTGTTTTCTGTTAAATGTTCATTTGAAATAACTATTTTAAAACGTGAAAAAAGGTCTGTGATTGTTATTATATAAAAAAATAATTTGTGTCATTTATTTTACGTAATAAAAACAAGTTTTAGTGCGCTTCTGTCTAAAGGGAAAGTGTCACAGGTGAGTAAATTCAGAATAATAATAGATGTTACGAAATATAATGATGCGGTTGCTAATAGTTCCAACAATTAGTTCTTATGAATCAATGTAGTTAGTTAAGAAGGTAGGGATACTTTTCTGACAAGTACTTCTGTCCTATAATGTCTCATTATTTATAATTTTCATTAAAACAGTGTTTTTAAGATGTGCAATGGCATTTTTACAACATTAGTCTGTTTTATTTAAATTGAGTTCAACAGAGCCTATAAATTATTTGTAAAAATAAGTTTTCTTTATGACTCATCATTTAGATGGGTAATTTTATAATTAAAGTAGATATTCCAGCAGCTTCACCATGGTCCGTTTATACTTCACCTCCTTAGGGGTTGAAACTTTAAAATCTTTTTTGAGTGCTCCCTTAAATCATGAAAGGAACCCCTGTACCTTCTACCCCAAGTTTCTTCACACACTAGGCTGTGCAGAAATAAGTAAAATGTACACTTTATGAAGTTCATTCTACATTGAAGATTACTATATAGTAATAGTAATTTGTAACTAATAAATATTAGAAAAAAATCAATTGCAATGATCCCCAATCCTGGATGAATGTTACCGAATGTAATTTATAATCACAGTTACATTTTACCCCTCTCTGCATATAAGTCAATCAGCTTTGCCTTTTGTATATATGGATGTGCAGTTTTGAATATATGAAATACAATAAGTACAGAGGCCCATAATCATTGTTGTTAAGCTACTTTAGCAAGGATCAGTAATGGAATGGATTATAAAGATATCTCGAGCTCCTCTGTGCTATGAAAGGCATGTTAAGAATGGCTGCATTAGCAGTACTTAATACCCTACAATCTGCTCTGGACTTGTGTGGTGGCGACCATCCTCCTTAAGCATCCATAAGGAAGCCCTGAGCCCCTGCAGTGGGGACGTAAAAGGGGCTGATGATGATATGTTACAAAAAACATTTGCTGTAGCAAAAATTTAAAGATAAAGTGAATTAATAAAGTCAACCATAAAAGTTTCCTAACTTTATCACATTTTATAATTTTTATCATTTTGTTTGCACACACTAAACATGTAACATTGATTTGAAATTATCATTGTACCATTGATTAGGGTTGGTAACTATTAAATACCTTTTAGATGAAACATCTCTTCTTAAAGAAAAAGGCTTTAAAAAATCCACCAGCCTTCAACACTCTGAGATGGGATTGGGACATTATCACTCAGATAACTAAAGGTCATGTGTTTGATTCCCATTTCAGTACTTGGGTCTGGTGGAAAGTGTTTTTCATTAAAAAATATTTTCCAGTATAGTATCATGTATACAAAATCAATCAAATACCTATATTTATCAATTCTTGTTGGGGGTGATAGGATGTTGGTCTGATTATAAACAATCACTTGTCCTGCATGCTTTGGAAAGTTAAGTGTCCTGGTTGCACCTGCAGTTGTAAACACTTTTAATCCACACTGATTTTGAATGTTTTTTCGAAAATGTATATAATAAAGTTTGTATCCTAATAATTTTATTTATAAAATTATTTACATTAATAATACAATTCTTTATGTATGGTGTGTATTTATGACAAATGTCTTTATTAAATGAGTGTTTTGATGGTGAAGTGCCGATAAAACTAAACTGATATTTTTGATTTTTTTTGGACGTAGTGGCTTCACGTGAGCAATCGTCCTCAATTACCCGTGAAAATATGACATTACAGATCCAGTAAAGTCGAGCATGTACGTAACGGTGGATTCGCGTTTGCGTTGACACGGTTATAACAATATCTGGGCTTTAGCACATTGGTTGGTGGGGTCACCATGCGGGGTGCGTATCAAAGACAACGAAAGTAAGACATTCCCGGGTCAATATTGACAAGTTCATCTTCTAAATCGACTTTTGCGGGACTAGGGATAATAATTACTGGGTTAAAAAAGAACTAAACCAAGTCGACCGCGAAGCAATCGCTGCCGTACCATCCTTTCCTGGAACCGTTACGTCGTATTTTCATGCCATATTTAAGGATCTCTAAATATGTTTTGAACGCTGAAATCTTGGGTCACGGTAGTGGATCGCCAAGTCGAAGTAACCAAAAAAAGCATTACCTACTTTTTCTCGATTTTTGAACCCTCATAACTTATGTTTGGATTACACTAGATAAATCAAATCTTCTGGCTGCAAACCCTGTAACGAACTTCGAGCGATGGAAAATATACGTGTTTAATATTCTTTCAAAATCGACCTGACGGACGGACAATAAAAAAAATATTAATTATCCCTATTGCCGCGTTACGAAATTTAGCTCAAGTTGTATCTGACTGTACAGCGCACTCCGATTATAACTCAAACTTTATCTGAAGCCTTAAAAACTATAACTATCATTGCAATATTTCTAAAGATTACTTGACTCAATACATATTATCTAATTTATGGCTCAGATAAAATCAAGTTCTGTCTGTTCGATCGATAATAAAACTATAGATCGGTTTTACCCACAATTCCTTCTCTTCCCCACACCCGCGTGGTTACCATCGGATACCCCATAGGATACAACAGTTAAGCGATATCACAGCGATATTTCGTTTCATTTTATTGCTACGACATGCACTAAACGACGTCATATGAAATTAAATATCGCTATAACATCACGACTCAGTAGGGAGTGAGGCGCTTTTTTCTCACCCCTGAAAGGATCATTCATGTCTTTGACATACAATTTTTTTGTTGATACTTACTTTCATAACTGACCCTGCGTATGGTGCACAGATAAATCTTCATGAATATTAGTTTTAGAATTAGAACGTATCGAAATTTCCCGAATGTTCGTTCGAGGACAAATAGAACGGCCACTCAGGCGTCATATCAATTCGTATTAATTATACTTTTGACAACCCTATGGTGAATATGTTTCTGTTGTCACAACAAGACCTCGTTAATGCCACAAGTAACTAAATAGAAACATTAAAGAAATTATCAGTGAACGACTTAAAGTCTATTGGTATAAGAATCATTTTCCTTCGAATAATAACTAATATTTATTCAAACATTTCATTTGGGACGCGGCGTTCTTGAATTTAGATGTGTTGACTAGATGTGCGAGGGAGATGGCACCATGTCACATTCACTCGAGCGAGAATCTTTGATGCAATTCGAATCAAATAAGGTTTTTAACCTTTATCCTTGCATTGGCTGTTTTCCCGCGTCTTCGCCCGCGTAAATTATACTCTATGGCACACGCGTATGATGTAGCTTCACTTAGGTGAAAGAATTTTTTACGACCAGTCCAGTAGTTTTTGGAACTTATTTGATGCAAACAAACAAACCGAATCTTTACTCGTCCATAATCCTATTAATATTATAAATGTGAAAGTTTCTTTGTTTGCATGTTTAAAATTTGGTATACAGATAGGGTATTAGCTGACTTAGATAATAGGATTCTTTTTATCCCAATAAACATTTCCTTAGGGACGCGGTTGAAGCCGCTGGCGAAAACTAGTATTTATATATTAGGAAGTTATACAAAAATTAGTCTCAGTTTGAAATTATTTAGTTCGATCGATTTCATCGAAAAGACTACGGAACATCTGGATGAATTATAAAAAAATCTTTCACTTACGGGAAACTATATACGCGGGTGACAGGAGTCGCAGAAAAACAGTTAAATGTTATACAATAGTACCTGACACACAGACCAGAGACAATATAGGAAAGTACAGTTTCTACATCAACCCGAGCGACAATCGAACTCGGGACCTCAGAGATGGCGTGACTACGGAGGTCTACGGATGTCCGAGTGGTTCGCATTATTGGCGAAGGGAAGGAAGGGATTAGGTACTCTTTTAGGGAGACATTTAAGGAAATAGACATAATGCCTGTGTTGAAGACAGCCACGTGCCGAAAAATGTACAGATCGAACGACCAATCACAGCGCCTACATTAGCGGAATTATCGGGGAGCCCATTGGCTGCGTAGGCGCCGTCCGCACGGTGGGGGCGATTCCCCCACCCGGCGCGCGGGCGTAAAACGCGCTGTGATTGGTCGGCCGCCGCGCGTCACTAGTAGCTAAGTTAGATGTTAAGTGTAGAATAAGGGTAGGGCCAAATTTGTAAATATTCGTAGTCAAGTCAAGTCAGTCAAGCAGTATAGTCAAGCAGTAATAAGTAGCCAGTAAGAAGAAAATATAATAAATCGTCTATAGAAGAAATTCGTCTTTGTTTTCACCATCATCCACGGTTATACAACATCGTCTACGGTTTGGTCCATAGAGCCGGATCAGCACCCTCAATAGTTTTGGTCCTTCGAGAAGCCGGATCTAAACACGTATAGAACCTCCGAGATCCAGCCAACAGTGAATCAAGATGGTGCTTACAAGAAGCCAAGATGAAGAAAACCAACGTCGTGTCTTCGACCAGCCGCCGAGATCGCCCTCAAGTACACCGACCGTACGAGGACGCCTCGAGACGGGTAACGCCGGGGAGAGCCTACGCACCGCACCGCAAGTCTCGCAACTAGCGCCTAACGCGAACCGCGCTGGGGCAGACGTTGCCGGAGCACGCGTCGCCTTGGCAGTGACTACGCAGCCGCCGAGCGGAGCGGACGAACGCGCAGCACACCCAATGGACACAGCGGCGACTACTGGCATAACGACATCTGCGATGACGTCATCGGTGCAACCGGCGAGGAGAGTGCACGTCGCGCGTTCGACCCGCTCGGCAGCGAGCAACGCGGCACGCCGGAAGCTACGCATCGAAGCAGAAGAACGACTGGCTGCCATAAGACGCCGAGAACTCGAAATTGAAGCGGACCTCATAAAAAAGACGCTCAATATCGAGTTAGAAACGCTAGACGGAGCAGAGAGCGAACCCGAAGCTGAAGAACCGGCAAATAAATTGCAAGATCGAGTGTTCGAGTGGCTCGACGACGCGAACGTCGACCAACAACGGGGGGAGCTCTCAAGAACCGCCGTGGCTGAACCGCCACCTGAACGCGACACGCGACGCCC